GCCTCCCCTGCTGCTGCATTCCCCCCTGGCCTTCGCCTATCAGTTCCCCCGCCGCTGCTGCTGCTGCTGCCGCTGGCCTCTTGCCCCCCGTCAGTTGCCTGTTCGGTAGGTGTGCGTCCTGCCACTCTTGCGGATGCCAGTCGGCCCAGGCGTTAACGCGCATGGAGAAGCTGCGGCTGGGCTGGGAGTTGTGGGACTGCGAGGTGGGAAGCGAGGGAGGGAGGGGGCGAGAGGACGGGAGGCGGGGGCAGGGAGGGAAGGAGTGACTCCGGCGTGTACGGTAGTAAAGCCTTTGACCTTGAGCCTGCTTCGGACCCGACAGTCAGGTACAGGGGGCTCGCCGCCGTTGCTGGAGGGAATGCGCTACGCCTTTGCTTCCAGTAGAGTCACCAAGCAGGGCTGGCGCTCCTCTTGTGGTAAGGAGCACCCCAGAGGTATGTGTGCCTCTTCACGTCCACAATCCCCCATTCCGTACGACATAACCACCCCCCCACCTGGATCCGTTGTACGACATCTCGGAAGCGCTCCAGGCGGCTGTCGTACTCCTCCGCATCGGCATGGATGCGGCCGTGTGCGCGAGACCAGAGATTGTAAGCGTGCGCGTCTACACATGTATGAGGGGACATACATAGCACACATGAGAAGCAATTCAGTACGTTCCAGTACTCGCGGCCAGTTATCTCAACACACGTGAGTGGGCACAGCACATGTATCAGGGAGTGAGGGAAACTCGTCTCCCAAAGTGGCTTTCTTTCTCAATGCGCAATCTATCATGCTTCATGCATGCAAGCATACGTAAGGTGGGCAGGTAATTCACGGCATAAGAACCAGCGGCATAACGGCACAACGGTTATACCGGTAATAATCCCTACTTACGGTCGTATGCTCGTATGTCGGGCAGTACGGCTGCCAGCTGCCACGCTGCAGGGTGCTGCCGCCGTGGCAGCTGCTGCCCTTCCTGCCCCTGCTGCTGCTGCACCTGTCCCTGCTGCTGCTCCTGCTGCTGCCCCTGCCCCTGCTGCTGCACCTGTCCCTGCTCCTGCTCCTGCTGCTGCTCCTGCTCCTGCTGCTGCACCTGCCCCTGCTGCTGCACCTGCCCCTGCTGCTGCCCCTGCCCCTGCTGCTGCACCTGTCCCTGCTGCTGCACCTGTCCCTGCTCCTGCTCCTGCTGCTGCTCCTGCTCCTGCTGCTGCACCTGCCCCTGCTGCTGCACCTGCCCCTGCTGCTGCCGTTGCTTAGCGGCTTCTGTTGCTAGCTTGTCTTGGCATATGGGTGGGATGTCAAATACATTGGAGGAGGAAGAAGCGGTGCTGCTGTTGTTGCTGTTGTCGTTGGGCAGGGAGTTTTGGAAATGCGTGAAGTCGTACACGTACCTGCAGAACGGGTGAGTGAGCGCGTGGTGAACAGGGGGTGAGCGAGGGGAGGGGGCTCTCTGCTGAGAGGAGTAGGGAGGGCGTGGGGAAAGGCGACGGAAGAAGGAGCATTGGGAGAATGGTTGCAGACGCGTAAGGGCGGGATGATGGTGGACGTGACCTCTGGCGGACTAGTCCCTAGCATTCGCATGGTGCGCCTTTTGGCACCCTTACCCGCCTTGGCACGGCGTGCGTGGTTTGGCGTTCTGGGGGAGCAGCAGGAAGCTGGATCCGCTTACCAGGTACGCCTCACCACGGCCGTTAGAGCACACTACGCCATTACGTAATATGCTCTACCGGCCGTGGGGAAGCATACCTGGTAAGCAGGTCCAGCTTCCTGCTGCTCCCCCAGCGCCAGACGACACATGCGATGCCATGCCGGGTAAGGGTGCCAAAGCACGATGGTTACAAAGGTGACAAAAGAGGTGGCAAAGGAAAGAGACCCCCAGTAGTCCGGTGCGTCAAAGCGCGCCCCTCATTTACACAGCGGCCCAGCCTTCCCACTCGCCAACGCACGCATATCATCATCATCATGCCACTGCAACCTAGCCAGCTAACGGTAACTCACTCGTCAAAGTGCGCGTTCGTTAGGTAGTTGACTCCGATCATGTTTAGCCTCAACGGCACCCCCTCGGGGCTGACGTAAAAGGTATACTGTGACACCTTGTCACCCTCCTTGATCTGTCGCTGCCAAATGTTGGCGGTGGTAGCACGACGACTGCCGGCAGTAGCAGTGGCAGCAGCAGTGGCAGTTGCAGTTGCAGATCCAACACTGTCGCCATTGCCGTTGCTGTTACCGTTATTACCGTTGGCTGCAGCATCAGCTCCGTCGTACAATTGGACCGTGCCACCGTAATCCCAACGCCACAAGTCCGGTAGCGGCTGCATTCCAGTATTTCCAGTTAGGGAATTATTGCGGTCAAGGGAGGAGGTACCGGTGCGCGTGTGTAGTTGGGAGGTAGTGGCTTCGGAGGTCAAGTGGGGCCCCGAGGGTGTGCGGAGATCGCATGTGGGGTAGGCATGCTACGGCAAATACAGTTGGTGAGATGGTGGTTAGACCACTGAAGACTGAACTAAGGCCTGTCGTGTCATGGTAAAAGAAAGCGAGCACAAGGCTTGGGCGAATGACGCAATCACTCTTCCCCTTAGCAACTCATCAGCCATCCCAGAGCCCCTACGTGCCGGATCCTGAGCCAAGTACGGCACCCTCCTGCCGTACTTGCTGTAACAAGGGTCCCCCAAGGCCGCTCGCGATGTCGCAAGATGTTTCCCTTTGGGGCTGTCGTACGTAGCCTTGCCCGCCTTACCGAGTAGACCTCCCTGTCCGGCTCGCCCCACACGTCACAGTCCAGCCGATCAATGCGCGGAATGACGGTGTAGTCATAGCCCTGGGAAAGCAAGGAGGGCGGGAAAGAGGAGGAAACCGGGCGGGCAGGGTGCCGGTGTACGGACACCGTAGGCCCTATAAGCTGTAAAGTTTATTGCGGTGGGCAGGGGTATGTGCAAGCATTATAGGAAGATGGGTTGATAGATAGTTAGTTAGGCAGCAGCGTGGTAACTGCACGGTGCAGACATTGCAGCCCCCTCTTCCCCACGCCTGGTACAAGGAGGCTAGCAGCCAGAGCACACACGATGACCAGTTTCCTTAACACACCATGACCGCAATTGATTCAACACACGCTCTCAATGAAGGGTGGCATCACAGCTACAGGTGCACTCGCAGCGGTTCCCCGGACCTTACCCCCACAGTGACACATGAATCCTCTCCATCGTACGCATCCACCCGCCGGCGGTTGTTTGGACCGTCGTACCATACTGAGACAGAGTAACTTCAGCACGAGGATAACGATAGGAAGGGCAGAAACTAGCCGATGTTAACAGATGCCTTGGGATGGCATGCGATGGATGGCTATTAATGACAGTGGCATTGCGGGATAAAGGGCCCACCTGAGCCCGTTTGGTTGGGTAAGGTAGAAATGAGGCATGGAGAACGTGTACTTCAAGTGAAAGACGTCCGGAAAGACTGGTGGCTTGGGGATGTCCGCTTGGTCGTTAACATCCGCCACGGCTAGCGCACTCGAAGCCGACGCTACTAACAACAGCCAATAAAGGATTGAAATGCGCCCCATTATAATAAGCAGTCCGGCTAAGAGTAATTTAACGCGTGCTGTTTCTGCAAGACTGCAACACCGGCCGGCGTCGAACGGGGAAGCAAATGCCGACCGATGTTAGATAGGCTATAAGATCAGCTGGCCTACTGCAATAACTACGAGTGTTGCCAAAGCAAAAAAGTATGTCCTAATGGCCTCGCGTGGCATGATGCAAGGGTCGCAGCACGTGCAAGGCGTGCGAGGCGATCTACCGTACAGGTTACTGGCAAGCAATGGGCGACAGGAGTCCGCATGTAAAGGCTTGCAGCAGTGTAAATAACTGCGGGTCCAGTTTATGTATTTTTGGCTACATCCAGGGTACCTGTACACTGGTAGGTTTAACATAGCTCTACGCGCGCCCACCAATTTGCGAAATAACAGCGACTGGCCGACGAGTAGGCTCGCGACGTTGTGTTATCGGCAACTGCCGTCTGCCATGACTACAATAGCCCCTAGTTCCTTAAGGACCCATCTAGAGCCCGCTAAACCCGTTGCCATGAGGCCCAATACACGCCTATTTCCCCAAATCTTGCCTATTACAACGCCGAATCCCGCGTCAGGGGAGCCTAGGGAGCAGCATATGCAAGGGGGCACCTAACTGCCATGAGGTGCAGGGGGGTTATGAGCCTGCAGGGATTCAGGAGCTGCTGCTCGAACCCTCTCGAGCAAGCGAGGTGTGCAGTTGTCACCGCCAGCAGCACACCCCGCTTGCCATGCAGCACCTCGCGTGCCATGCAGGAATCTGCTCGCAAAGCAAGCAAGTGCATTCATTTCAAGTGCATGCCCTGTTTGACCTGTGGGGTCCCTGAAGCGGGTTTGTCTCCATGCGCATGTGTGCGACCGTGTTCTGAGTATGCGCTGCAGCGCAGGACACCCGTTACGCTGCTGCTTTACCATTTTGATACCGTAAGACGCGCTGCGTCACAAGCATGCTCGCAAAGCTACAATCTGGTCTCCCACTAAGCGCGCTGGCTGGACCAGGGTTCATGGCGGGCGACATCCGCAAGGTCAGCTTAGCCCTTACGCAACCTATGTGCTTCACAAACCACCCGACAGCGTTTTGAGTCCTACATGCAAACAGGGCCGGATCCTTATATGTCCCGGAGTCAACACGGCGATGACCAGCTCAGCTTGAAGTCTATCTGTCATGTGTATCTACGATGCATGAGACGTACAAGTTGGGTATGCAGTCGTTATGCACGGGACGCGTTTACAGCTGGTGCGTTTGTGAGGTTACGGCAAGGAAGCGCAGTCGCCGGACATCCAAGACTTTAATAGTCAATTGGTCAATGCGCACAGAGACCGCTAAGAACTTATCATACACGTAAAAGCACACCTTGACACTTTATTGCCTTCCGTAGCTAGGAACTGGGAAGGAGAGGAGCAGCCATCAGCATGTGTAAGCTGGAGACCTCGCTACAAATCTGATTCACGCATTATACCTTATGCCTTCACTCTTACCCATGCAGCATCTCTACGACACTTTGAGACGCCTTTGACTCACCAGTCTATCTCCCCAAGGCGTCGGGATTTTTCACCCTCGCGGCCAGGCACTAGCGGTAGGGCAACATTATATGTTTATAATATAGCGAGTATCGAAAGGCTCCAGGCACAGCCTAAGGATATTGGGCTGCTACTCGTGTACATGCTCCTCAGGTCCCAGCGCCAAGCTTGAGCATGTTACCGAACGCTTTGCGGGCTTATGGACGGACTTGGAGCAGGAAAAGCAGGTGCGCATAATCTCACCCTTCTGCGCTATTGGTTGACCCTTGGGCGACAACATGAGGTTCTTTCTCTGTGCAGAACAAGCGGATTCAGGAGTCGACCCGCTTCAGCCTTCTTCAGGAGGCACTGCAGCGGATAGAGAAGAGCGTTGAGGTGCGCGGGCAGAGCTCTTCTGGCGGGTCAGGGTAACTGATAGCTCAATTCACCCAATCCTGTGAACTTCCTGCCCGCAGGCGGAGGTAAAGCGGCGTGCCGAAGCAGATAAGCAGCTCCAATCCTACTTTGAGTCTGAGATTAAGACGCTCCAAGAGCGGCAGACGCAGCAGTTCTCGGACCTGCAGCTAGCTATCAAGTCGGTTACGGAGAGCGTTAACCAGCGTATCACGGACCTGCACGCGTTGGTCAGGTGAGGGTGGTCACGCCGCAGTTAACATCCTGTCCCATGCAACGGTCCGGCTGCAGGGTCTCTCCAGACGTTTGGGTGGCGCCTTGCACGCGGTCGCTTGGCGTATGAGTACCATTCCGCATGCCTCTACACGACCCCATGTCCCTCAACTTCATGCCTCAACATGGCACCTTGGGCTAACCTGCATGGGCACATCCAAGCTCCACAAAGCGGCATATGCGTGTACCGCACCCATCCCTAACCTGGGTTCACTGCTGAGCGGCCCTGCTTGCAGTTTCTCAGCGGTTACACCTCCCCTCACGAACCCCATGCTTTCCTGATGATGCTATCCAGGGACGAGCGCGAGTCCCGGCGCAACGACATCGAGCACCTCGCCACCAGCCTGGTGGGCAAGGTCAACGAGTGCGTGGCGGCGATCGATGAGGGTAAGACGGCTGCAGTGCTGCAGTTGCCAGATGGCGCTGATAGCTGGTAACGGGTACCGGCAAATGGGGGCCATTTGCCATTTGGGTTTGGCATATGCTTCCTAAGCCACCCAGGCCAACCTGGGTGGGTTCAGCAAAAGGTCTCCCGTGTGTGTATCATGGGAACATACTTCATCGCCATGTGGGTTTGGTCACGATGTGCGGGGTTTTCGAGACCAAGCCCGTCAGGCATGCTCTCACTCCTGGTTGCTTTATGGGTAATTCCCCGCTCATGCCTTCAGCGCAACGCGCCGCGGTAGAGTGCATTCACAACAGCTACTCATTCATGTCTTGTACCGCAGCCTTACCTGCATGCCTTGCATCCCCGGCAACATCTTCACACCCCATCCTGGCCCTTTCCTTCGTCACCCGTCTCTCACCCCCTAGAGCGCAACGGCCGCGTCCAGGAGCAGACGGTGTCGCTGAAGCGCGTGGGCGAGGACCTGATGGTGCTGTCGCAGCGGCTGGATATCGAGAAGACCACCCGGTATGTAGGAAAGGGGTATATAGGTAATAACCGCGCCGGGGTTTCGGAGCAAGAGCCTTAGTGGTCAATGCATGAAGTACAAGGGTGTTGCGGATTGCGGTTACGTTGGCATGAAAGGGGCCGGGCCGGAAGGAAAGCATGTGATGGGGCCAGATGGAGGAACGTGACCCAGTCAGTGGACCCACATGGGCTAGGACCCATATGCTTGGACAACATGACCCAGAACGTGGCCCAGAGCCATGACCATCTGGGTTACGTTATGGGTTGTAAGATGCCAGCATGTGGGTCCCAGCCCTTCAGCTGTGTGCCCAGCTCACACATTCCTTCCTAGCCATGGCTGTACGTTTGAGCATTGCCGGTTTGCCGTTCTTTTCGGTCCGCAGCGAGACGGAGGTGTCGTCCCTGCGCTCGGAGGTGCACGATGCCATCGCCAACCGCAACATGCTCGACGACCAGTTCAAGGTGAAATGCGAGGGGAAACAACAGCCTGTTACCGGTAGTCGAGTCGGAACTACCTGCGGCTACAGTGGGGTTTTGCATTCAAATGTCCTTCCTTGTCATTACAATAAAACTGAAACGGCGGTGGTTGCTGCTTGTATGACAGGGCGCCGTGCTGGACGAGGTGGCGGGCCTCAAGGCCGCGCTTGCCCTGGAGCGCGAGGAGCGCATTGCCGAGGACGACGAGATCGTGCAGGTATGGATTGCGCATAGGAATATGCATGGCTTGAAGGACCTGGAAGGACCTATGGGCACGCATGACGACTTGTGACCTCAGGCAAAGCATCCTGCATGGTCACATGAAGCCAATGGCAGTGCTGTTATCAGGAAGGAGTTATGTTCTCCTCTGTTCCTTTAATGACCGTTAACGACCTGATGCAATGCCCTTTCCCTCCTTCCAGGCTGTCAACGACTACACCAAGGCGCTGCAGGAGGGCCTCAAGCTGGTCAGCGCGTAAGGGCTGCTCCACTATGGTGCTCACGGCCCCCACCCTTACGGATCGGGCAATTTGGAGAAGTATCCAGTTTGTCGTGAGCTGCAAACGCTGGTGTCTATTATACAATCTGTGCCGCGCTAACCGGGCGGTGACCGCTATATGCGCTCTACGAAAGGAAAGAGCTAACTGACCACGTGACCAGTTGTTAACCACGTCAAGAACTGGCGTCCTGGTGCACAGCCAAGGCGCATGTGCGTGCGAGCACGTGCGCGGGACGCGTCTTTCTGAATCCAGTCGTTCAAGCCATTTTGCCTCGACTGGCGCATGCCGCGCGGGTTCGTGCGGCGCCGCTGGGCGCGCACCCACGCTGTTGCATGCTGAGTATGTCTTATGCGTGCGAGTATCGGTGTTTAGCTTCCATTATTCTGTGTGTCGCCTTCCGTTCCTTGGTGCAATTGATTATATTAGATGACGACTTACGTGGGTGGGGAAGTACCATCAGCTGAGACACTGATGATCCGTGAGATTGTTGACTTTTGACTCTTTATTTACTCTTTGACTGCGTGCGCCGTTCTTGCGCCTTTAGCTCTTGACAATAGCCGTTCCTTTGGAGGCTCATGAATCATGATGTTACCATAAAAGGCCGCATGTGATTGAATGAACTGTGTTTTGGCCTTCTGCATGACTGTAATTGCATGCCAAGAGCCGTCACGTATCTCAATGGTACCCCATCCCATGCAAGCGTTAACGCAGGCCTCCTTGAGCCCTAAACCGGAGCAGAACCGCGTGCACTTAACTACTGGATGCTCAGCGGCGGAGTAAGCATCACGTGAAAGTGATGCGGATAGCGTGATCAGTGACACCGATTTGTTAAACAAGTCCTCCCGAAGATGCCCACCGGCGTTCCCCGCGTCTCCCTTACCGGCTACGGTCTACAGAGACTGTTGAAGTTCGCATCTTTTGTGTGTCCGTCTACGAACCACTTGCCTTGTTCGATCTTCCCTTTGTCAACGCACCGTGTTAGGGGGGTTAGTTTTCAGGCGTTCACGCGACATCCTGCTGCTTCGCGCGTATCTTTTAAGGAAGCACCGCCTTTAGGCGTGATCGGTTGTGGATTTTGCGGGGGCACGGTGTACGATGGAGTGGGGAGATTGACCGACGTACCAAAGTGATACCGACGGCTGTTGCAAGAGCCGAGCAGCATAACCCTCATCCTCGGCAACGCCTTTTACGTCACGTATTATATCATTTTTCATACTAGTGTATATATACATTTGTTTAGGATGCGTGCTGTAACAGTCGCTGTGTTGCTCGCGCTTGTGTGCGGGCAGCTGACTACTTCTGTAAGAGCACAGCAGGCGAAGGTTGCACGCGCTGAGTTCTTCAGCTGTCCCGGGTGCAGCCTGAACCACCTTCCCGAGGTCAGTTCCATCAATTTCGACCATTACAGGCTATCTTTTCAAACCTTACCGTCTTTTCATAGGTCAAGAGGTTCTTAAGAGGAGACATCGAGAAGGGAGCCTATGAGAACGTGACCGTCACGTTGTAAGTATTCTGTAGAGAGCAGTCCATCGTGTAGAAGCTTACCCTTTGTTGTCCCTCTAACACAGCATTCCTGGAAGGGCTCCTGAGCTGGTGCTTTATGATGCTAATAACAATGAGGTCAGTCGGTTTGGTCGTCCAAATCATGTGGCTCGTGATACTGAACGTGTGCGGTTTCGCAGGTTGAGCGTATGTTTGTGGGGAAGTTGAAGTATGACGAGCTCCACACGCTGATCCAGAGCAAGGGATTCAAGCGGAAGGAAGGTATGTTCCCCTCCTCCTGCTAAGTGCAACGACTACCTCCCAGAAGCTTTTGCAGGGGATGTTCGGCATTCGACACTTAGTATCGGGACTATCTAACCCGAGTTGCCTTTCAAGTCACGTTACCCACCTGAGTTGTGTGCCCTGTGCCTACTGCGTCCGCCCCCTAATGCAGGATCACGGCGGGCGCTGCGGTCACGATACTAAGCAGCCTCGTGGTGCGTCATGTGTGGTGGAGGACGGTAAGCCCCGTGTGTTTTGGCGGCTAGGGCCTTGACATCGTAAAGTGGAATGCATGGATGTTGGTAAAGTCGGACTGTGGTGCCAAACCCTGGCCACCTTGTTGAACATGAGGGGCTCAGCCGGACGCAGGCCGGCAGCGCACCGTGTGCATTTTCTATGCTATGCAGTCATGCGTTGGCAGCATCTTGTTGCTCACCACCAGCGTCCTGCACTCTTAGGCCACCTACTTGGCCTCCTTGACCTTCTTTTTGCAGGTTGCAAAGCGTCTTGCGGCCAACGAGGACATGGTGCGCTTACCTACGCCAGACGAGGGCTTGCAGTTGATGACCTGAGCCTAAGGTTACCTCCTTCCTGGCGGCTGAGGGACAGGTGTATGCTGAAAGATCGTACTCGTAACAGCGACGTACGTGGAGGACGTTCAAGAAGAGGAACTAGCACGTGGAGGACGCTCTCAAGAAGAGGACTAGTTAGAAACGAGGAATTGGCACGTGGTGTGTCTCAAGAGCTGATGCTCCTGTGAGCATAGTGTCGTGTATGCCAACCATTCATATCCTGGAGGGCTTTGTGAGCCTGAAAGCAAGACTTTTTAGCATTGCAAGTCTGTGCCAAATGAGCGAATATATGCACGACCACGGTTCTAGGGTTCTATTCGCTTCGGGCGTTGGTGGTTATCTGCATGGCGCTATGTATTTTGGACATGCAGTCATGGAATCATGGCCCACTAGTGCGTGCTTTTTGTCGCATTTCACTTTGCTAGCCCGTGCCCCTTAGCACACGACTTCTTAGGCTGCTGCTGAATACATAGTCCCATGGGTTTCCTGTTTCCAACCTGTAGCTATTTTGCCATTTTGCTGAGACAGAGAGTCGTCGTCTAGAGACGTGCAAACAACTTACAAAACAGAGCTTGCACGGGAGAGTTCCCATGAGGACCTTAGGCGAACCTCCAGGTCCCACCATCCCGTCACGAGAACACGACGCCTCACCACGCCGCTCGCGCCTTGGCACTCGAGGGCGGCAACACAACGTCCTCCACCAACCCCAGCCCCAGCTCCTTCACCTCCCGCAACACAGCAAACACGTTTGGCACGCACAATCCTCCTGCTGCAGCGCCACCCTTGGCACCCTCCTCTTCCCCAGCTGCCGTGAGCACCAACGGCAGCGCGGTATGCGCCGTGTTAAGCCGCAGAGGCTGTGGCAAAAAAGCATCCGGCGCCCATCGCACCCCAACCAACCGCCCGCCCAGTGCGTCGACGCAAAACGTCGCCAGGTGACCATACCCTGCTGCCAGTTCGGACAGCAACCGCGACACCGGGTCGAATCCCACTAGCAGCTCCGGTTGCAACCTCGCCGCGCCCTTGGCCGCCACCACCTTGTCTGGGAAGCAGCGCAGGAAGGCGCGAGCCCGCTTGGGAGGCGGCTCTGAGGGCCCTGCGTCCTCCAAGACGTCCGACAACGCGTCCGGCCCGGACGCAGGGCCGTCAAGTGCGACAGGCGGACCACCAGGTACGGCAGGTTGGAGCAGATCTCGTACAGCGCCGCCGGACGGTAATAGCAGGGAGGACAGAGCAGCCTCAGGACCAGCGGCTTCTCGTAGAGTGCTCGCCTTGGATGGTTTGCTGCTGCCGTGCCGTTGCGTTGAAGCAGGTGGTGCTGACATAGCTAGGTCTGCGTGCGGGAGGGCTTCCTTGCGTAAAAGGATGAAGGCGTCAAAGTCCGAAGCAGGAGTTGAGAAGACGCCTTGCCACTCGGCAGGAAGGCCCGAAGGTGTAGCGTGGGAGGGAGCAACCGATGCGACGGCTGTTGGCTGCAGGAGCAGCTGCAGAAGGGCGGAGGAGCGGGCTGCCAGGACGGCAAGTCGTTGCAACACCGCTGTGCTTGGGCCGCGTTGAGTCCTGGGCGAGGAAGGGAATTACAGCTAAGTGAGTGATTTTGTACGGTACGTGCAGGTAAGTGAGCCATTTGCAAGGATGCGATGCTAAGCCAAAGCCTTGGCAACATGGTGAAGGCAGGTAAGATCTTCAAGGGGTAATAATGGTAAGCCAGGAATGTGCCGGTCCACGCTCAGCGGCCCGCCCGGTGCTGTATGTGCACCGGACGACACGCGAGGCTGAGCGCCCGGGACCCTTGCGAGCCCCGGCATGTGAGACGACCGAACGTTATATTGCTCTCTAAGGAAACTGTCAGGGCCATTGACAAAGGCCCAGCAGTCCTAGTTGGAGCTTGAAACAGCGGGTGCGACGACGCCATCATGCAACGAACCCCTGCCAACCCCTGCCAACACACACAAACATGCAATTCGCCACACCGACTGACGTGACCTAACAACCACAACGATTGTCCCTGCTCACCAGTGGCGCGACTCCCGGTCTCGAGGCGTGCAGATGTACAGCGCGGGCGCCTCTCCAGCGGCCCGACGCGCCTCGAAGCGCTTGCGGATGTCCCTGCGCTCCGCCTCTCGCAGCTCCCCTGCCGGGTCAACCACCAGCGGGCGCAGGGACCAAGGCCACCGGGCCAGCAGCTGTAGGAAGCGAAGAAAGCCTGCGAGGGGCAACATGTGACATCAGGGTAAGCATTAACAGGAAGCGCACGACGAAAGCCGATGCACGATGTTAGGTGTTTGGTGTGTATGGGACGTGTCTCCGCCGGGGTCAACGGGCATGTGCCCTACCCCGGCGGCTTGATTTGCCCTTTGACATTCTTTCTCGGCCACCCTTGACACCCCGCCGCCGCTGGGTTAACGTGAAGTCAATAATCGACGGCAGGGTAACACTGGGCGGCCTGACGCATCAACACAGAAGCTATCGATACGGTTCGACCAATCAATACTTGAGACGACGAACATGGGGCACATCCAAGGTCCACCCACCAGTAACACGAGACCCCGGAGGCGGCGCTCCGGCCGGCACTCCCGCGCCGCCAAACGCCGCAGCCACCAGCAGCTCCACCGCCTGAGGCGTCACGTGGTTGGACATCATGTGGGCAGCGACCCACCGACCCGCCAGCCGAGCCGCAGGCGCATACGCCGCGTTGGCACCGCCCACTAGCGCTATCAATCCGTGGTGCCAGCTCAGAAGCAGCGGGCTCTCCTCGGGACTGAGCTGCCCCGAACCAACAACGCCGCCGGCGCCGGCGCCACCGGGAGTCACAGCCGTAGCGTCTCCGGCAGCAGCGGACGCCGCCGCCGCGGCCTTGGTCAGCATGGCTTCGTCTCGTCCAGAGTAGAGAACCAGGCGGAATGCAAAGCCGTCCAGAAGCACGTCCACAGCTTCCTCGCTGGCGCTGACGTGGTGGCCGTACGAGGAGGCGAGGGAGGCGGCGAGCTGAAGCCCCAGAGCGGCCTTCATCTTGCGGAAGGCGACTGGGTCATCAGGCCAGCGACCTGTGAGACGAGGCGGAGGGTTGAGTGGAAGGCCGGTTTGAGTTAAGCATACAGGGAATAACAACATCCGTACAGCACGCTTCGCATATAATAAAAGTAGATGGCACCAACCCAACAAATGCGGCACCATGGGGTAAGGCAACTGTGCATTGAGTGACATGCATTGATGCCCATACGGACAGGAGGATTTGGACGGCTCAGGGATTGTTCACCATTAGCAACCAGAATAGGCACCCGGTATTGTGAGATGGGCAGCCCGGTCTCGCTAGTTTCTTTAATCATCGCCGTTACTGTACTAAGAGAGAATAGCAGTCAAATGGACATACCGGCATGCAGGCTTATGGGCATGCTGGCACAAGTGCACATCCCAAACCCTGGACTCCTCACCTGAGCTCTCCAATGTCACCAGCACCTCCATCGGATCCAAACACCTCGGAATGCCTCCACTGCCGCCGGCCTCGCCCGCACCCGCACCCGCGGCCGAGCCGCCCGCCAGGGGATGCGGCTGCGGTGGCAGCGGCGCCGTCCCACGGGTCACCGACGACAGCGGCTGCACGCCAATCACCTTGAGTGCCAGTCCCTCCAACGCTCTGAGCTGCTTTCCAAGCTTCTCAGCCGCCGCCTCCGCAGCTCGGGAGGCCGTGAGATCGGCGCCAGGGGGGCTTGTCCGGCAGGTAAGTGCCCAGTCCAGGCAACCCGAGGCGGCGCCGGCGAGGGAGGAGCCGGACGGTAGGTGGCGGATGACGGTGTGTTGGAGGATGAGGTCAGGGATGGTGTGGCGGAGGTGTGGGGCGACTTCCCAGACCGCCGTCTCGGTAATCTTGCCGTCTTGCCATCTGAAAGTGTGGACGGGGGTGGAACGGGTTTCAGGAGGGTTAGGATGAGTCATGAAAGGGGAGGACGTGAGGCTCCGTGGTACCGTACAATAAGCAAAGCGGGGAAGTTGGGTGGAATGCAAGAGAAGGATGCGATAACAAGACCCCTCAGTCACTAAGCGGAAAAGAAAGTAACCCCCATGTTTGGGTCGGCTGCATTTGTATCGTCATCGGGATAGCGCCATGTTGCGTGGAGCGTGGTAATGCAATCATTTATAAGAGCCTCCAAACACGACACTTCTTTGAAAGTTCATCCCAATACACCCCACACCCAGCCTACCTGCGTAGCTCGGACTTGTCTCCCCAGAAGCGTCTGAACCTCGCCGCAGCGGGTGCATCATCCGCCGCCGGGCCCACATCCACCAGCCGACAAGCAGCCAGGGGGTCCACCACCGCCCCAACCCACACGCCACAGGAAGAAGAGGAGACAGCGGTGGAAAAGGAGGAAGGAGATGCGGAGGTGCAGCCGGCCAGGGGTATGAGGCCATGCTCAAGGTCTTCAGGGACGCAGGAGGAGGAAAGCGGCCGACGGATGACCCGTACGACCTTGGCGCGATCCGTCAGGGCTTGTCGTACGAGCTGCTCGATTTGGACTTCTTGTTCCCTGGCGAAGAGCAGCGGGGAGGATGGATAGTGAGGAGGGTAAATGAGCGAAAGGTTTGAGACGCCGCTGCCTTCAAGAATGTATGGGTGGGTATGAAGTAAGACAATCTATGTACAACCCATTTTGGAATGACATGGGAACGCACGAGGCAGTCGCAGGGAGAGCTAAAGGAGCAGAGCGGCCCTCAGTCACTAAGCGAAGTAGGAAAAGACCCCATAGTTATGGTGTCGGCTGCATATTGAATCGTCACCGGGCTCGCCCACTCCTCCGCTCACAACCTCCGCTAATGGCTGGTAATGACATGATAGCAACAAACACATCCCTTGCAACCCCACCCAACCCCAATTCTCACCTCCATAACGGGCGATCCCGACACATCGCCTGCCGAACCAACTCCTCCCCATCCTCAGCACCCTTTGCCGAGCCGGTCGCAGCCTCCGCCCCGTTGTCCTTCTTTTTCACAACGGGCCAGGCGGCTCCGGAGCCGGATGAGGATGGCGAGGGCAGGGAGACGCGCCAGTGGTAGTCAAATGCGGCGGCGGGGCTCGACAGGGGCGTCAGCAGCGCCGCAGCAAAGGCCTCATCCGGGTCCGCAGGAGCGATGAGGAGGTCTAGGGTACGACGGGCGAGGAGCTGGACGTGCGCGAGTGACCCACGGGTCATGTGAGCGGCGACGTTGAGGTAACCGGTGAAGTCAAGGAAAACGACTTGGTGGTGAGCCTTGAAGCATTGCTGTAAGGGGCAAGGGATCCGGGGCAAGGAGTTGGGTGCGGTATTCAAGTGGTTGGCAGTGGAGTGAAAAACAACACCTTAACATGATACCCCATGCCGTACACGCAAGTGCCTTTAATGTTCCCATTGTTCTTTCATGGCCTTCCTCTTAACCAGGCAGCTTGTGACATTTACCATGGTAGGCGGTGTGACGCCGGCTGGCAGGCTGCCTGCAGCGCCTCCCTCCACTCGCCCCAGTGCGAGCCCCTTGCTCCATGCGCCCGAGTCGGCCAGCAGCTGCAGCGCCGCTCGGAACACCTGCAGCACCGACATGGAGCCGGCCTGCAGCAGCAGCAGCAGCAGCGGAAGGGAAGGGAAAAGAGGCAGGGATGAGAACAGGGGACGATAGGCGGCGGGAGGAAATGGCAAGTGCGTACGAACGTGGCTGCTGCTGGTGCCAAGGCCAAACACGCACCCCAAAGTGCCCTTCTTACTCCACACGGCTACCAACTCACCATCTTGTTACGCTCCGACAGCAGCAGTACCAACATAGACAGCAAGCAGCCGTCCAGGCAGCCGCCGCCGTAGCTGCTCGTGCTCGCGTCAGCGCTGTTGGCGGTGGCGGGGGCAGCAGCAGAGCGCGCATGCAAGCCATGTTGCCGCGCCCAGACCTTGAGCAGCAGCAGACCGTCCAACAGGCGAGGCGAGGACGCCAGCACGGACTGAGCGGGACGGGAGAAGAAAGGGGACGGGGAAATGCTTAATAGGAGTTTGCTGTTGAGGAACAAATAGTGGATATCATTGTTATTACCGCAACCAAGGCAAGGGTGCAGTGCTATGCAGTTCTATACGGTTCCATGTTCCCGCTCCTTAACCTGCTTCTCCCTTCCGAACCCCACCCTCCTTACCTTTAGTCTGGCGGCATGCACCGGCAGCAACATGTCCTCCAGGATGCCCGCATTGTAGTGCGGAGTGGGTAACAGCTGCTGCTGCTGCTCTTGATCCGCATTCCCGGCAGCCTCCGCAGCAGGCAGCGAAGATGACGACGCCGCACCCTTCCCAGCCGCCGCCTTGCAGTGTGTTCGGACGCCGTTTCGGTCCGGTGCAAGGCGCGGCAGGGCAAAGGTGGCGGGTGCGATGGAGGGCAGGATACGCAGGCTGTAGCCGCCCGCCTTGGGAGGCTGTAGCACCAGCACCGGCCGAGTTGGGTCGCCGTGGAGGGCTTCAAGCCGTTGCTCGCCGAACAGGCTGTAGCTGACGTCTCGGAGGTGCCGCGCAATGGCCATGAGGTAGACGGCACGGCGAGCATGGTAGCGGTAGTTGAGGTGCGCCTTGGGGACAAACATGTCGGTCGGCAGCTGTACGGCAATGTCAACGGTGGTTTCGGGACGTGCGACAGCTCGGGCGGCATAGCTCCCAACCACGGTGACGGATGTGGGTGGCTTGACGGTCAGGCTGTCCTAACGAATGGGCGGAGGGTTGGGAGAGGAGCAAAAATGGGTTGAGAGGTTGGTTTGGTTTAGCACGTTAGGAGTTGCAGCCTAACGTCCTAACAGTGTCAAATCCTGTGGTTAGATTTCCCTGCGGCACAAGCTAGCCCCGACTTCAATTCCACGCATCCTTCCTGCTCACCTCGGCTGTCAGCCCTAGCGCCTCGACAAATCCCTTGGCAATGCTCATCGGCACCTGGGCAGAGGATGCAGGCGGGCAAATATGGGTCAGAAGAAAGGAGTGGTCGAAGGCAGCACAGCAGCCACCGGGATAAATACATCCAGCAATTGCTCAACAGAACCAACGCACGTTCCCAGACCCAAATGTTCCCGGACGCAAGCGAACCCAGATTGCATGCCCTTACCTCGTGTTCCGACATGGACAATAGGGCATCCTTCAGCCGCGAAATGACGACTTCGACATCGGAGTTCTTTCCATAAGCGGCCCTTGTTTCTAACAACAGCTCGTCTGCCTGCATTGCAAAAAGAATGAACGTATGAGGTAACGACTCTTCACGACTGCTTACGCATCTGCAAGGGGTACCCGTGCAGACAACCCTACTTGCCTCCATCTGTAAGATCGCAGCATCAGAGGTGTCTGTGTGCATCATCAGCGCCGTGTCCGTGACCAAGCCTCCAGACTTCGCGGCGGCTGTGGCGGCGCTCATTGGTCCCGGCCCAGCCGGGAGCTGTCGCTGCGCGGCCGCCTTCAAACGAGCAGCATCGTCCATCTGATCATCGTCATCTTCCCCTTCATCTCCATCGTCCTGATCTGTCTCGTCTACGAGCTCCTCGCTGCCATCATCGCCGTCGACCAGGCCATCGAAGTCCGTATCGGACAAATCCTCGTCGCCGATGCCCGCGAACTCATCGTCTGATGCTTCTACGTCATCGTCGACGAGCTCGGGCGCAGCTGGCTGCCGCGTTGTGGCGGCGCCAACCTTCTTAGGTGCCATAGGCACAGAAGCAGATGTGACTAGCTATCTTACTGGTGCATGGCAATGTTCTCTGCAACGCTGTGCCTGCGAGGAGGTCCACCTCCTGCAAGCCAGGTGAGGATGCAATCGTCACCGGTATGACCGGTTGACGTCTTGCTTTGCACAGTACAGGAATTATTACTCCCTCAAGAGAGCAAACTTTACAATACAAAAGTAGCGACCATGTTGAGCCTGCTCCGGTTAATATCCTGGTCGTGCAAAATGGGCCCGATGAAGAGCCTGGAGCCCTGGACTCTGGCCCCCAGATCGACTTTGCTTATTACATATAGCAATACGATTTCGCTTACGATATTGCCAAGAGGAAATTCCTTAGCCAGCGCGACTAGGGCCAAGCCTGCGAAGATGGCGAGGCCCGTGTTCGCGCTGGTAGTTCTCGCAGCCTGTATGTTCAGCGACTTTGCTTACGCGCGCGACGAATGTTTTGGGCCGATCGTTGAAGTCAAACTGCTGTCCACTTCGGGCAATCCCAAGGCACCGATTATAGTGAAGTATGGTGCGCTTGCGGGCTTTGGTTCGAACCTGTCCCAGCCTCTCACATCAATCCCAGTGAATCTTGCGGAGCCGCTTGACGCTTGCGGTCCGATTGCATTGCCAACGGCAGCAGGTGAATACCTCTTTGCCAGTTAACTGTCGGTGGGGACTTGCGCTTCCGTCGCACCACCGTGCACACGCAAACTTATACTCTTTACTCTCTTTTAAACCAAGCTGTTACTCTGGCAGTTGCAACTGTTTGTCCTCCTTACTTTGCTCCGCTCATGTCCCGCTATTAGTTCATACTTGCGCCCTTCACCCACTCCTTGCGTTCGTATCCAGCCAAACCCTACTACTACCTTCGCATTGGAGCATGCATCCTCCCACCCCTAATTCCAACCAATCCCCTCACCCCAATCATCTCACCCCCTTCCTCCATCACCTCAACCCCACCCCACCTCATGTCACCCCCTGCACACAGGCACGGCCCTCCTAGTCATACGTGGCAACTGCTCCTTCACAGAGAAGGCTCGTGTCGTACAATCCGCCGGCGCTGCTGCCATGCTGTTGTACGACAACGAGCCCGGCTGCGTCGCCATGGGCGCGGAGCCCAATGCTACTGCCGGCATTAACATCGCTGCTGTTAGCGTGTCGTACGACACGGGCTTGGAGCTAACGACGGCGCTGCAACAGGCGGCAGCCATCTCTGCCACCCTAGCCTCCACAGCCTCCTCGTCCGCCAACGGCAGTAGCAGTGGTAGTGGCGGTGGCAGCAGTAGCATGACCAGTCCTGGCACCTCTACCGCCGCCTCCGCCACGTCATTGGTGGTGTCGTTACGACGGTTGGACGTTCCGTTGGTGGATGGCGGGGCGGTGCTGTTGTGGTTGTTGGCGGTTGGTACGGTGCTGTACGGCAGTTTGTGGAGCGGGGCGGACTACCTGGAGGCTCGGCGCGAGCAGGCGGAGGAGCAGGTGTGTGTGGGGGGGATGTGTTAAGAAAACTGGTCGCGAGTAGGAACGTACTGTGATTGTCGGAAGCAGGACGTAAGAAGCACTCTCGTAAAACGACCGGACCGTAGTAGTTTGATATGTATGTATGGATGTATGTATGGATGTTTGTATGATCAGAAAACTGGCTGCGAGTCGGCCATATATTTTCTTCTTGTTTTGGGTGCTTTCATGGCACAGGCAAGGCTGGAAACCCCTGCTACGCTCCTGGCCCCACTTGCCCGGGAACGCCGCCCTCACCCTCCACCCCTCCATTCCCCTCCACTCCCCTCCCTCCCTCGCCGCCTCCTCAGTCCCCGTTGGTTCGCGGCTCCCCCTCCTCCCCCCGCTCCTCCCGCCCGCCCTCCGACTGGCTGGACCTCAGCCCCCGCGCTGCTCTGGTGCTGGTGGCGGTGGCCTCGGGGCTGCTGCTGGCGCTGTACTGGCTGATGAGCCGGGCGGCGTTCTACGTGCTGGTGAGGCGGGGAGGGGGTGATAGATGAGGGAAGTGCAGCAACTGGAGGAGGAGGGGGCGTAGCAGGGATACGCATTCCGCATGGGGCTGGTGAGGGGGATAGTAATACGCATTTTCCCCCACTTCCCTCTTTCACTTTTCACCCACTTCCCTCCTTCCTCTCCCCCTTCCCTCCCCCCTTCCGTCCCCCCCTCTCCCCAGCTGGTGTTGTTCTGTGTGGCGTCCGTCCAGTCCCAAACCGCCCTCTACGCGGCGGGGCTGCAGGCGCTGCTGGCGGCGGCAAGCAGTGGCAGGGGGAGCAGCAGCAGCAGCGGTAGGGGGGGAAAGCAGCCGGCAACCGTGCAGGTGGGGCCGGGGGGAGGGAGCAGGGGCGGGAGGCGGAAGGAGGCGGGGAGGGGGGCCTTGACCTAACCAGCGATAGTTCCTTTCTTTCTGGGGTTTGGTTCCTCCCCTCTGACTCCCTCCCGTTCCCCTCCCCCTCCTCGGGTAGAATGAGATGGGCCGGCTTCCGTTAGCAACCCGTCGTACAGTTCGTCAGCTTCCTTATTATCTTCCCCCTCTTCCTCCCTCCCCAACGCAGCTGCCCTGGTTGGGTGCGTGTCCCTGGCCGCTGCTTGCCGCGCTGCCCTGCGCGGTGGTCCTGGCGGGCGTGTGGGCGGTGCAGCGGAACAGCGACTGGGCGTGGGGGCTACAGGACCTGCAGGTAGGTGGGGGCGGGGAGTGCGGGGGGGCGGCAGGGAGGAGGAGGCGGGAAGTGGGGGAGGCAGCTGGGGTTAATATGTTTGAGGCACGGCTCTCTCTCTTTTGCCGGTTGTTGAGGCCTTGCGCTCTCGACCCCGCCCCCGCCATCCCCCCGTGCCCAGGGTGTGGCGCTGATGCTGCTGGTGCTGCGCACGCTGCGCATCCCCTCCCTAAAGGTGGCGTGTCTGCTGCTGCCCGCCTTCCTGTTGTACGACGTGTTTTGGGTGTTCGTACAGCCGCTGCTGTTTGGGGGCGGCGAGAGCGTCATGGTAGAGGTGAGGGAGTCGAGGTGGGGGGTGGTGGTGGTGGCAGTGCTTTTCCCGGCCCCGGCTTAGTTCCGCTATACCCCCTCTGCTCTCCCCCACTGCTGCGAAGCACCCCATACACATCAACCCCTTGTCCGCTCCTCTCCCATGCATCACCCATACCCGCATTACCCCCATGCATCCCACCCCCCCTGTTCCGCTCCCTCCCCCGCGCAGGTTGCTCAAGGCGGCGGCAGTGGCGAGTACCTGCCCATGCTGCTCCGTGTGCCGCACTTCGGCCTGCCTGCCGGCCTGGGCGCCTACTCGCTACTGGGCTTCGGTGACGTCATCATGCCGGGACTGCTGGTGGCGTATACGCGGCGGTTAGATCTGGATCTTGGTTTGGATCTTGGTTTGGGACTGGGAGGAGGGCTGGGGAGCAGTCTGCAGGGGGGTGGGGGTGGGAGCGGCGGCCCATGCGGACGGTTGCTGGGTCTGCTGCTGGGCTGCTTGTGCTGCGGATGTAGCGGTAGGGGTGGTGGTAGTGGGAATGGCGGTGTTGGAGGGGGAAGCAGCAGCTTGGTAGTGGGCTTGCCGGGTTATGGGGGTGGTGGTGGTGGTAGTCAGGTGACGGCGAGGGGCCGGCTGGTGCCGTACCTTGCTCGTTCGTACTTTCCGTACACCATTTTGTCGTACGGCGCCGGGTTGTGTCTGACGTACGCAGCGCTTGCGTTTAGCTGGTTTGGGGATCAGGGGCAGCCAGCGTTGTTATACTTGGTGCCATGCACGCTGCTAACGGTGCTGGGTTTGGCAGCGGCGCGAGGGCAGCTGGGGCTGTTGTGGCGTGGAGGGACCCATGGGTCACCTGGGTCGGCGGGGCGGTTAGTTACGGATCACGAGTCGGATCCAGGAGATGGCAGCACAGGAGGAGGGGTGGCGGTTTCGGCGGTCGCACGAGGAGCAGGTGGCTACGTTGGGGTGGCATCTACCGGTGCGGGAGCAGTTGGAGCCGACGAGGGCGGGAACGGTGGGGATGTGGAAGCTGGAGGGAATGGTGCTGTTGCGGTTGGGTTTCGAAGCGGGAGGGGAGGGATGCCGTACAGCAAGCTGCCTTCGCAGCCTCAGCTTTCGTGATTGCTGTGTTATTAGCGGTAGGTAGCCAGGCAACCGGGTTTGCACAAGAGATGCGGAAAAGAGGTAGGGAGCGTGTAAAATGGATGAGAGCAGGACGAGGCGATGGTGGGTGGAAATAGCTTAAATACACCATTACAACAGTGACACTCCGATGATAATAACCGAATAACGCCCTTCCATGGTAAAGGGATTGAATCTGTATATGTATCCTGTTACTAGTACCCTAGTCGTACAGACTAAGCAAACCACGCACCCTTTGTTGTACAATGTTACCCTCTACAGGGCCTTACGCACGAATTATTGAAAAAGATGTTAATGGAGCGCTTGTCATGTTTTTGGGTATCATGGTGCTATACGGTTTGTGATTGTGTCTGTAGGGCATGTGTTCTTGTCATGGGCTCAACTATCATGCATGGCATGGCATGCGGCTCTTTAGCGGTTCTGTACGGCAATAACAATGGTTCACCGGTTTTTGAATGCGTGATCTCCAAGGGTGGCGCGTAGGAAGCTACCGTTTCCTTTCCTTGTACGTAGGATGACGGCCAACAGGCCGTAACCTGTTGTTAGCTGACTCTAGCGCTTTTTCACGTTACGTATATTTGGTATGAAGTTGTAAACCTATGTGCCATTGTTACCCATGTTATGCCATCGCTCTGCTTTCGGCTGCTGCCCGTGTTGCTACTGACACGTACACCTTCTACCTGCGGGCCAACACTCCACACTTCGTTTTACGTCTCACTGATTCCGCGCGGCCGCTTACCTACAACACCCGGTGCATGGACTCTAGCAAAGCCGCAGCGACCCATGGGTCTCTGGTTATGCACCACCGTCAGGTCTATGTGCGCCAAATCAAGACTGGCACGCATGTTAGTGGTAGGTGCGGCTCGATGCATTGTCCTCGCCTTACACATGCCTGCGATCCTCGAGTGGACCCTCACAGCCAGCGCGTGAGGTCAGGCTGTTTGTCCACGTTCCTGAAGTCTACCTATCCTCATATCTGCAGTCCACATGAACTTTTAAGCTCAGCAAGCAGGCATGGGGGGTGCGACGTGCAATGCCGCACGCAGCCTCATTCGCAGATGCGGGATACGGTCAAAAGCAATTTTGCAAGTCGGGGTAGAACCTGAGACCTGGAAATTGCGAAAAATTTGGAACCATTTCTCGATTTGTGCGTGTCATCCTTGCGCAGGGGCCATGCTAATCTTCTCTGTATTTTTCCAATTTTAACAGTTGTGCCGAAGCACGTCAAAGAGTGACCTCCTTAAATATATATATGTTATATTAGAAAAAACCAAAACTGAGGCCACGCATCATATGCCCACATAGCGCCGCGTCGTGGTCGCCGCGGCCGGGGGTACCGTAAATCCTGATTGGTGATGAATGAATCCGCGAACGAACAAGCTTTGCGTGCCGGCATGACTTCAGCATTGCGGACCTAACATTGGCGCGCCGACCAGTGTTGTGAGGTTGCTCATGTGTTGCAGACAAGCATGGTCGGCGGACCTGATGTCAGCGTGCGGCTCATGTTCGAAAGCAATAGTCGGCATGGCGTACATGTACGGCATGGCGTCGAACTGCTTCAAATTCAAATTTTGGGGCGCCTCCGGACGTTTTCCGCTATCGGTGAACTCTTGGGGCTGCCCTACGGCATGTTGGCGTGTCCAAGGCACGAAAAGCCCTTGTTCTGTACCAACATATACAGGTAGAGCCTCGCTACCTGCGCACTACATGCACACACACACACACACACACACACACACACACACATCAGCGCATGACCTGACAGAGGTGATCTGTCCTCCAATCCTCCCCTCCACTTCGCTCGCCGCCTCGCAGCAGGCTGCGCACCGGAAGTGTTATCATCTCCTCTTTTCATCCTAACCTACACGATACTCATGATCTAATGTTTCGATACTCCAATGTACTATGCTGGCAAAGATAGCCCGCCCGAAGCGCAAGTCTCACTGTGATCATAAACCGAAGCAATAGCCAAGATGATAATTTGTGCTGTGTTATACACTTTTATCGCATATCGCACAGATAAAGAATTCTGAAAATCTGAATTCGATCACCGGGCAGGCCTGGCCGTACATGTCCGAGCAGCCCCGGCGACCGGTCCATACGTTTCAGGGAAGGAAACCGTTCGCGCCGAGTCATGACGTGATGGACCCGTGGGTCGCTCATCTGACCCATGGCTCGGTGATCGCCGATCAACCATAGGTTTCGGTGATCAGTAATCGGCGCTTTTCAGGAGAAGCGCCGACTCCAGGACCGTGCTTCTCGCCGAAACCAGCTTGCAAATTGCGCCGAAAGACTTTCGCCGACGCCAGGCAAATTGCGTCGAAAGACTTTCGGCGATGCCAGGCAAATTTCGGCGATAAATAATCGCTGAAACCAGCGGCGAGGAAGGGGTGGTAAGGGGATTGGGGAGTATGGAGAGGGGTGGTCACAGTCACCGAACAGTTTTGCGCTGATTTTAGAAAGTAACCAAGAAACCGCTGGGGGTGGTGCGTTGGGTGTGGGTAGTGGGTTGTTGGGGTTCAGTTGTACACCACACCCAGAATAGTATGGCGTTTGCCATGTTATTGATAGCAGGTGATGCATCTAGTAGTTATAGTCCAGCAGAAGTTCTTCGTTTTCAGCGATGTCCCTGCAAGCCGATAGGACCAAGAGCGGTCCGCGCCAGGCACCCACGATGTTGGGCGGGCGTTGAGTGCCTCTCGAGCTGTTTATATACCGGGTCCAGTTGGATCTGTGGAACGATGGACGGAATGGGATGCGATGGGGTGCGAGAGGAACGGGGTATTGTGAAACTACGAAGGTGTCATAAAAGCAGGTATAGTTTGGGTGATATGCGTTGGCTGTGCGAGTGGCCGGGCGGTCGGCTTTTAGATGCATGGCGTGTGATAGGTAGGAGAACGATTGGGTGGATGTGTACCTTTCGGGCTGTGACAGGTCGATAGCGACTCCGTTGTAGAGGTCGCCATATACTTCCCACTGGTACCGCTCGTGGTGAGGTGCATCGGAGGCCGCAACGTAAGCGAGGGGTGTGCAGCCGAACGCGGCGCCGTTTTGGATGGGTGCAGTGGCGAAGACGCCTTGTTGGCCGTGGGCGACGGTGCTGTGGTCGAGGCGGATATGAAACGTGGCGCTGAGGTAGTGGGCGTCATAGTTCCCCACGGAAGTGATGATGGAGTGTTGGAATAAGGTGTGAAGAGCAGGGTCAGAGGCGCGGACGTAGCGAAGGATTGCTAGTGCGTTTCGATGGGCGTTGCGAGCGCGCTGACGTTGTGCTTGAAGGCGGGTTTGAACCATACAGGACGAGGGGCGAAAGGAAGAGGTTGGAGTGCAGCGGGCGGTTACTGGGTGGGTTCCGAGTTGGAGAAGGGCGTGTTGCGCGACGGCGCTGGATAGAAAGAGTCTGTACAACGGGTGGCTTGAAGGTGGCGGGTCAAATCGGGAAGGTCGGTTTGTCGGTCCTGCCGATGTCCATTGAAATGCGAAATTTGCGCGGACCACGAATGTGAGCGCTTTGCACTCTGAACAGCACGGCCGAATAGTAGTATGTATTGTGGGCATGGAGGAAGTGTCGGCATGTAAAATGGATCGGTGTAGGAGGAGATATTGAGAGTTGTACTGCACCGCGGCCGTGGGTGTGGACATGGCGGCCTCACGCGGCGGTCGCAATACTTTCCATAGTTATACTTTGAAAAGTCGGCTTTATTTAAATCGCTAAATATTAGGCGCGTTTGAGAGCAGGCGAGAAAGTTCACAGTCAGTCAAGTTATCGCACTCCTTCTGTTGGCCTTGTTGGCAGCGCAAGGTTTCAGATATCGATATATATAGTTACAAGCGAGTTTTAGGCGGTAGTTGGCCAGCCGGTTGAGCTGCCTCGGGCGACGTAAATGGCGAGGTCTTGGAGAAGGGCGTGTTGCGCGACGGCGCTGGATAGAAGGAGTCTGTACAACGGGTGGCTTGAAGGTGGCGGGTCAAATCGGAAAGGTCTGTTTGTTGGTCCTGCCGATGTCCATTGAAATGCGAAATTTGCGCGGACCACGAATGTGAGCGCTTTGCACTTTGAACAGCACGGCCGAATAGTAGTATGTATTGTGGGCATGGAGGAAGTGTCGGCATGTAAAATGGATCGGTGTAGGAGGAGATATTGAGAGTTGTACTGCACCGCGGCCGTGGGTGTGAACATGGCGGCCTCACGCGGCGGTCGCAATACTTTCCATGAGAGACCGTGTCGAAACCCATGCCGTACTGCGTTGCCGTACACCTCACGGTGATGCAGGGGCGTTCAGGGGTGCTGGAGGGGCGAGGGGGAGGTGAGGGGAGTGGGGAGCATGGAGGGGGGTGGAAGGGCGTGTCGAAACCCGTGCCGTACTGCGTTGCCGTACACCTCACGGTGATGCAGGGGCGTTCAGGGGTGCTAGAGGGGCGAGGGGGTGGTGAGGGGAGTGGTGAGCATGGAGGGGGGTGGGAGGGCGTGTCGAAACCCGTGCCGTACTGCGTTGCCGTACACCTCACGGTGATGCATGGGCGTTCAGAGGTGCTGGAGGGGCGAGGGGGAGGTGAGGGGAGTGGGGAGCATGGAGGGGGGTGGGAGGGCGTGTCGAAACCCATGCCGTACTGCGTTGCCGTACACCTCACGGTGATGCAGGGGCGTTCAGGGGTGCTGGAGGGGCGAGGGGGAGGTGAGGGAAGTGGGGAGCATGGAGGGGGGTGGGAGGGCGTGTCGAAACCCATGCCGTACTGCGTTGCCGTACACCTCACGGTGATGCAGGGGCGTTCAGGGGTGCTGGAGGGGCGAGGGGGAGGTGAGGGAAGTGGGGAGCATGGAGGGGGGTGGGAGGGCGTGTCGAAACCCATGCCGTACTGCGTTGCCGTACTACAGTGTGTTGTCGTACTCGAGATCTCCCAAAACACCATCCCCATAGGCCCAGGCATCATCTCCAAGGGTGCCGAGGAAGTCGCAAAGAGGTCGCTACCCGGCTCGAACTGGAGACCTCTGGCTGGCTGAGGATAGGACTGAACGCTTAGCGCCGGAAGGTCGTTGCCACCACTTTTGTGAATGGACGGACGGACGGATAGCGCCGCGTCGTTGCCGCGGCCGGGGGTACCGTAAATCCCTTGGGGGCCCTGTAATGTAATGCCAGTCTGCCAGGGCCGTGTCCGACGATTTGTTCGGTTGGGTTCTGTTTCCGCTTGCCTGTTTTCCGGCAAGGGCACGGTAGTCGGTGAAGCCGCCATGTAGGTTATCCCAGGTCTGTGGTGCTGGTCGACGTGGTCGCCGACGGTTGGTTGGGGCGTCTTCGTCGTGATTGGTACCTGCGTTAGCACGGGCGTCACGTCCACCACCATTGTCGTCATCATCGCCGTAGTGGTGGTCGTCAGCGCCGTTGTTGCCTGGCGGTGGACGGACGTTGGGCGCCAATGGTTTGAAATCGGCGTTCTTCTCCAGCTCCGCGGCGTACTTGTAGGCAGGTGGCCCGCCAGGTTGCTTGTGTTGGCAGGGGTCGCCGACGAGGACGACAGGGCGTCCCGCAAAGATAGAGGCAGCCAGAGAGCCGGGTTGCAGGTGGCGTGGAGGGCGGAGATGCTTACTGCAAGAACGGCTGATGGCT